ATAATAATAATAATAATAATAAATATAATAATAATAACAATAATAATAGTAATAATAAATATAATTTATAAATAATTAAATAAATAATTTTAAATAATTCGATTTCAATATTCACTAAAAATCAGTTGAATTTTTTACTAATTCAAATTTAGATTGTATAAAGATAAACTTTATAAAAATAAAATGTATAAAAAGAAGCAAAAGTGAATCAACAAACGAATAACTTAAAATAACTGAGTCCTGACATTCTTGGGTATTTTTTTTAAACTTGATTTGGTTATTTTGTTTTTTTTTTTTTTTATTTTCACCAACATTTTTCTCAAATTCGTCATCGCATGTTGCACAAAACTATTACTGAAATTTACTTCTATAATTAAAATAAAATATTGGTTATAAATAAAAAAAAAAAAAAAACGCTATTAATAAAATACAAAAAAAAAATTAATCAGTTTTAACTAAATTCAGATTTTAACGAATAAAAATAAAAACATACAATGAGAAAAATGCTTATATATAGTAAAAAAACATTTTTTTTCCCCCCCAGCACAAGAATCATTAAATGTCATATTCATTAATTGGCACTAAATATTGTACGATTTCACTTTTACATTTTTTTTTTTTTTCCTTCATTAAAAATATTTCTCTTATTAGACGATAAATAATAATTTTTGATCTGTATGAACTTAAAATCTGCATTCAACTTTGTATTATAATGCCATAGATATATAATACTTTTATTATTGAATGAGTTTTTATATATATATACATATTACTACCGTGAATGAATATATCGCATTCCGTTGAGATTTATGGACAATTACTTAACAGAAATCACGTAATTGATTACCACGCACTTTCTTACAAGAGTCCATATAGAAGAAAATCGTCTGACTGACAAAAAAAAAAAAAAAAAAGGAAACTCAATCACTTTGTCGTATTTATTTTCGAGAAAAAGCAATTATCAAACTAATTTTACTCGCTTGATGTAAAAAAAAAAAAAAAAACGAAATGCGTTTAAATAGATATGTTTATAAAATGCAATTCAAAGATAAGAATTTGAAAAGTTGATTGAAAACACTATTACTTAACAACGAAGAAAAATATTTTTAATGAAAAAAAAATTAAATACAATTTCTATTGAGCTACATCTTCTTTTGAAAGATAAATATTTTATTATTAAAAAGAAAATTTGATTCAAATAAATATTTATTTAATAATAGTCAAATAACTATAATTATTTTCAATTTATTATTATTATTATTATTATTATTACTACTATTATTATTATTATATTTTATTATTATTATTACTATTATTGTTATATTTTATTATTATTATTATTATTATTATTATTATATTCATTAGAAATATTTTCATTAGATGAAAAATCAAATTGATTTGTGCTGAAAATAGAATTTTTAAATAATCGCTTGCGGTAATTTTCCAGAATTAAAAAAAAAAAATACATTTATACGTTTGTCATTCAAATATATCATCAGTTTCATTATCCATTATATTTAAATATTAATGTTCATTCATTGTACAAAATGATTTTTCATTTATACGACTTGAGTCTATCATTGAATATGTAATTGCCTTTTTTTTCTATTAAATATCACTTGATTATTACCAGCAATTAATTTATATCTATACGTACTAACAAAGAAAAAAAATTATTTGAATTAAAATAAACGATTATTTTACTATTATTAAATAAATATATTTATTTGAACAAAATAATTTTTAATTTAATTAAATAAATTGTATTTGAACCAATAATTTCTGTATTTGAACCAATTTCTGTATTTGAACCACTTTCTGTATTTGAACCATTTTCTGTATTTGAACCATTTTCTGTATTTGAACCACTTTCTGTATTTGAACCATTTTCTGTACTTGAACCACTTTCTGTATTTGAACCACTTTCTGTATTTGAACCACTTTCTGTATTGGAACCATTTTCAGTATTTGAACCATTTTCTGTATTTGAACCACTTTCTGTACTTAAACCACTTTCTGTATTTGAACCATTTTCTGTATTTGAACCATTTTCTGTATTTGAACCAATTTCTGTATTTGAACCACTTTCTGTATTTGAACCATTTTCTGTATTTAAATCAATTTCTGTATTGGAACCAATTTCTGTATTTGAAACAAATACAATTTAATTGAATCAATAATTATTCAATACAAATAAATATATTTATTTAATAATAGTCAAGTACAAAATTATTTGAATCAAATAAATTTTTTATAACAATAAATCTGAGAATACAAAGTATTTAAGTAACAAAATTTTTTTTTTTTTATTGCTCCAACAAAAATTTTAGTTAGAACAAAATTTTTTTCTTACATAAAAAAATTCTTTAATAGAATTAACAAAAAAAAAATTTTGTTAAAATAAATAAAAAAAAAAATAAAATTTTTGTACAAATTTATTGTAAACAAATTTTGTTTGTTAAAACAAAATATTTTCCTAAGAGAATATATATATATATATATATATATATATATATATATATATATATATTGAGATAAAGATTCTGTGATCCAATTATAGTGGCAAAAACGATGAGAGATGTAGATATATCGCGTTTTATTGCAATTTTTGCGCGCGCGCGGCGGCAGGAAAAGAAACACATAAACGCCTTATAGTGGATCACCAAGGATACTTTTCTATATACGTGATCTCCTTTTGAATTACTTGATTAAAACGACAATTTATATTCGAGCTAGAGGCATGAGCAATTCATTCCCACGAGAATATTTTATTCCGTATACAAAAACAAATAGTCGGAAGGAACTCTATTTTGTCATCCGTCAAGCGTACCAAAAGCCAATTTACAAATGTAACAAAGGATTCACGAGTGGAGTAAGATGTTTTTCTTTCAACAGAATAAACCCATAAATCGTTGATACGGAATGAAACCAAAAAAAAAAAAAAAAAAAAAAAAACTTCTGTTTCATGATCATGATTTTTGCAAACAGAAGATTTGACCTTGTTTTATATTTCTTTTATCGAGACTATACAGATTTTTGATATAGAAAGAAAATAAAATAAATTTTACCAGTGAATTTCTTGTTTTCTAAATTGCTAAGTTCAATTCCCAGATCACTTTTAATTACAGTTTTATATAATTGTTGTATAATTATATACTCAGCAACATGTATTACTCTAAATGATCTGGTTATGAAATACTTTGTCCCAATCTAATTTAATAGCAACGAGAGAAAGAGACAGAGATTATAAGTACCAACACGGAAAAAAATTTATTGTATCAATCACAACTCCAATTCTAGAATTCAAAATTTTAAAAATTGTACTCTAAACAAAGAAAATAATGTTTCTAACAGGGTAAAATTACAAAACAATCTGTTTCTTTCACAAAACAATTTGGTTTTTTCACAAAAAAAAATTTTCACGTGCACCAAAAAAAAATTTTTGTTCACAAATCCAATTTGTGTATTTCCCAAAAATCTTCTGTTTTGTGAAAACAACAACTGCAATTTGTAGATAACACATGAGATCCTGTTGGTAATCCATTAATTTTTTTTCGTAAATAAAATTTTGTTTTTTACTTAAAATTCTTAATTTCAGAAAAATTATTCTTTTTTTTTTTTTAAACAAAATTCGTAAAAAGTTTTGGTTAATTTCCAATTCTTTTTCTTCTAAGCGAAAAATGCGAATTGAATAATCGTATTTTTTTTTCTAGTCATCAAATTGCAAAACTTCCTTTCACAGAAAACAATAATTCAAACAAGAAACATCACTTTCAGTATATATGTTAATTTTATAAAAACTTTTCAAACAAAAAAAAAAAATATAATGCAAATTTATTTTTAATCGAGAAAACAAAGAAAAACATTAACCTTTTCATAAATAATAATTTATTAAAAAATAAAATTTATTTTTTAATACCTTAATTGTTAATAGGAAAAAAATTTTATTTGATTCAAATAATCGTTTACTTGACATGAGCCAAAAGTTTTGAACGTTCAAATGAACGAAATATTTTTTTCAATATATAAATTATTAAAAATTATGATGGCAATGTAAAATAAAACAGTATATTAAACAATTATTAAATTAATAACTTCTTTTTAAATATTTAAAACAATATTTTGTAATAAAATTCGTAATTAAAGAAGTTGCAAAAAAAATTTTCGTTCATTTGAACGTTCATAATTTTTTGCTCATCATTACTTGACTATTATCAAATAAATATTGGAAAAAATATAATTTTTCGAGACAATTAAATATTTGTTTCAAGTAAAGAAATTATTGGTTCAAATTATAATTTATTTAACTCAAAAATTTATTTGGTTGAAATAAAAATTATTTAATTCTAAATTAAAAATTATTTGGTGTAAATATTTATTTGATAAAATAAAATATTTATTTCTGAATCAAGTATAACTAGTTATTTGAATCAAATAAATTTTTTTTTTTTTTCGGCGTACAAAAATTACAAAGAATTAATGAAATTGAAGTTTAATTTCCTGTAATTAAAATTATGAATGGTGCAAGCTCGCCTATAAAGGATCTGTTAATTGCTAATGTCGAAGGATGACAAGTTGCTTTCTAGAAAGTTCTATTTTTACCATTGAAGGTAAATTATTAACAAAACTGAAGAGTACAGTAACTTGAATTATATTTCCGCGATATGATTAACGATACCTGACGGCCATGATTGTAAATGATAAGAGAGAAGGCAAAACGGCAAAACGCTTTTTGAAAGTGGTAATGTCCTAGAAATATATATTATATGTATTGAAGAAGAATCTCAACATACAAATGACCGTTATAATACCCTCCATATATATATACCCGCATTCACCGCAATGGTATCATATAGCTAAAAAGCAATTTCTAAAATTATTTACTCTATTCTCAAATAGCCGATAATCATATATATATATATATATATATAAAGCCTCAGCGAAATAGTATATTTAAGATAAAAAGATTATTTTCCATGTGAATCGTTTTTCAATTACAGGTATTCTTATTTTGATGACCCTTGGTCTCTTGGGCCTTGCATCCGGATGTTTTCTTCTTATCGTTAATCCATACGAGGCAATTTTCAAATATAAAGTTACATTTGGCGAAGGTGGGGAAATTTTCGAACTCTGGAGAACGCCACCTGTTGATCTCTATCTTAAAGTTTATCTCTTTAATTTCACTAATCATCGGGAATTTATGTCCGGCGAGGATAAGAAAATGAAGCTCCAACAAGTTGGTCCATATGTTTACAAGTAATTTTTTGTTTCCATTTTCAATATATTTTCTAAAATTCTTTATCATTTTTTCCATGGATTTAATTTTTTAAAAGCAAAAAAAATCAAAGCAACTAAAATTTAAAGCAAAAAAAAACAAAATTATAGCAACTAAAATTTAAAGCAAAAAAAATAAAGCAATAAAAATTTAAAGTACCAAAATTTTGTTTGTAACAAAAATTAAATAAAAATTAATATTTGTAAAATTCATTCAGTGAAAATTTTTTTAATTTTTCGAAAATATTTTCTTTTTATTGTTTTTTTTTTTTTTTTTTTTTAATGTAAACAGACATTGAAAATTTATTTTCCATTTATATAGAGAACTTTTGGAGCATGGGAACGTGACTTTTAACGACAATGGTACCTTGACCGCTATTCCTCTTTCGCCGTTAGTTTTCGTACCAGAATTGAGCGCAGGAACAGAAGATGATCTACTGATCCTGCCGAACATTGCCTTATTGGTGAGTATGTTTTAATTTCATATATCCTTTTTTCTCTCATAAATTTCAAAATTATTTCTCTTATTTAAAATTTTAAAATTATATTTCCTAAAGAAAATGAAATTTTTTCCTAAAAATCCAAGTGAAATATTTTCTACTTGTAAAATTACAAATAAGTACAAATTTAAAAAAAAAAAAGAATGCAGTTTTTTTCTCACTACGATTATTATTATTATTTTTTTCCTATAGCTCTCGATGTCTTTTTCTCATCACGAAGTTTATTTAATCCCATTTGACGACACGTTTTACTTAATAAGAAAATGTTACTTGATGAAACAACTCTTTTTACTTAAAACGTTCATTTATTATGTATGACGCAACAACTTTTTCTCCTTGAAAAGGAAATTTTGTCTTTATTCTTCGATGCTATTGCTCCTAAATTGAATTTTCATACTATTTTTAATTTAATAGAATTTTATCCAAAAAATGTTTACTTCCTAACCAATGCAATTTATGAAATAAAATTATATTATTATTATTATATTATATTATTATTTTATTAAATAATAAAATTATATTTTTGAACAAAAAATTATTTCAAAGAAAATTATTCAAAAAAAATTTTTATTAATAAAAGAAAAAAATTCAGAATATAGGTCAAAAATTTTCAATTTTAAACTACTATAATCAATATATTTATCTCAGAGTCTAATAAAATTTTATTTGTTTTAAATAAAAAAAAAAAATGTTATTTGGCGCAAAAAAAAAAAAAAAATTTATTTGAATAAAATAATCCCTAGTAGAAAGTGCCCTATCAGGGCTCTAGTAGGGAATGAAACGCCACATCTTATCAGGGCCAAATCAGGGCGTCCAGAAAATGTGGATTTCCTAATCAGGCGTGGCTATTCTTTAATAGGGCAGTCTGATCCGGCCCCGATCTGAGCCCTGGCAAAATTTTTAAACGAAACACTAAAACTAAAGTACTAAAATAGTACCAATTTAAGGTACTCTCTAAATCTGATTTATTAAAATTACTAATTTGAATTAGTGACTCACATTTTGCTTCTGAATTAGTAAAATTTTACTAATTATTAGTAACTATTACTAAAAATTAGTAAAATTTTACTAATTATTAGTAACTAATTCTAAAGGAAAAAGTGAATCACTAATTTAAATTAGTAATTTTACTAATTCAGATTTAGAGAGTATAAAAATAGAAACTAATTAAAAAAATTAGCACCTAAAAGTATTAAATTAATACCTATTGTTTTACAGCGTGAAAATTTATTTGAAATAAATAAAATTGATTTGAAACAAATAAAAATTTATTTACCTCCAAGACAAATATATATTTTCTCCGGGTACACGAAACAGTTGTCTAGAAAAAATAATAATTCGCTGGAGGGAAAAAAAGTGTCTAAAATGAAATTTTTGACTAAGTGAAATTTTAAGTTGCAATGGTTTAGAACCGGTTAAAATTAATGGCAATACATGCTCGTAAATCCAATATGCCAGTAGATATATAGCATTTTGCCCTTTTCGTTTTCACCTAAATCTAACTAACACACACATATAAACGTTTCTCTTTCTCTCTTTTTCTTTCTTATTAAAAAGCGATGAGAGAAAAAATATTATTGCAAACCAGGAAAAAGAGTTTAAAACAGTCTCATTTCAAATCTCTCTCTCTCTCTCTCTCTCTCTCTCTCTCTCTCTCTCTCTCTCTCTCTCTCTCTCTCTCTCTCTCTCTCTCTCTCTCTCTGACAACATATTTAGGCGTAGATTACCGCAATTTAACTCTTTTTTCATTTTTTTTACACTATACATATATACTCAATGTGCAACTTGTACTTATATGAAACTTGCGAAATATCTATGCTGAATAATGATGCAACTAATGCTACCAAATTCCTTTTCACTACATGGTGGTACTTGTTTTTGATATATCAAAACATTATATTATTATAAACTCAAATGCGAATTATTTCAATTATTTCTCTTGCGCAAAATCCTATATCAATTTTCCCACTTTTCTTTACACCCTTTATTTCTTGATTGAAAACAATTTATGAAAATTAGTAAAAACACGCACAGGAAAATAATTATACATTTTCTTTTTATCAATTTTTAAGGGTATATCATAATTTTCTCGAATTTCTAGACTTTTATCATATATAAAGAACTTTGACAATATAATTGTATAAGTACACTATAATATAATAATTATATATATATATATATATTAATTATTAAAAATTGAATGAAAATTATCGGTAAAATTTCTAGTACATTAATTATTTATTGGTAAAGAAAATAATTTTTCTAACCTTTTTATAGATTTATAAAGAAATAAGAAAGAAATTCTTTGGGAGTCGCATATAATTTAGCTAACATTCAGAAAAGAAGACCTTAATTCTTAACGGAATGAATCTTTTCTTTATGTAACGATTTCCAGTAACACAAGCTCCTGGCCTTGACAAGGTTATTTTACGAAAGTGAATGGCCTTTTAAATACATTGCTCTTTTGCTTATTATTATTATTTTTTTTTTCTTTTTTCATTTTAAGAGCATTAGTTCGCAGTTTCTACACAAAGTTTCACTATAGGAAAAGTCACAATATTATAATGAACTTGAAGTTTATTTTCATTTTTATTTTTCAATATTTATAATATGTGCATTTCAATTTTGTGTTCATCAATTATTTATTTATTTAAATATCCTTTTTTTATTATTTAAAAAAAATTATTTATTTAAATATTCTTTTTTATTATTAAAAAAAAATTATTTATTTAAATATCCTTTTTTTATTTAAAAAAATTTATTTAAATATCCTTTTTTACTATTAAAAAAAATGTATTTATATTGCAATAAAAATATATATTTAATTATATTTAGGTTTATGTAAATATTTATTTATTTATAAATTTTACGTTATAATCTCATTTTTTTTTTTTCATTAATTTTGACACTTATTTACACATTTCATGAACTAGTCTGGTCACTATGTGATACACATTGACCTTCACACACAAACAGTATCAGTGATTATTGTGACGCAATTTATCAATTTTTTTTTTCTTATCACAACGCGCAAAATTGTCACGTAACTTACTATTTACGTTTTACTTAATTAAATTTGTCTTACCGGAATTTTTTAATAGTGTTTGTATTATTATATTTACATATAATATTTTTATCGTTTAATAAAAAAAGTTATTTTTTTTTTTTTTTTTTTTTGGATATTGAAATTTTTCATTTTAAATAATTACTGAATAGAAATTTACTTTATATTTTAAATTTATATACGAGATATTTTCGGAACATTTTTCTATTAAATTGGAAAAAAGCCAAAGGGGTCAAAAGTTGCCGTTTCTCTCTATATACTGAAAAAGTTATACGAAGGAAACCGCACAACCTCTGCCTCTCTGTGTTTGACTTGCATAATCGCAAAACCAGTGGCACAGAGAATGGACTTGTTTTTCCGCGAAAAAGTCTAAAAATATTTTCTCAAAACTTTTTCTATTTTGGCAATGAAGCTTTTAAAAATAAAGATTCACTTGTTATTGTGTGATTTAAAAAAAAAAAAAAAAAAGAAACAGATTTTACACAGAAAATTTTTGTATTAAATTTAATTAAATTAATTTCCCCTTGAAATTTTTTTTAAGTTGTATTGAAAAAAATTATTAAACAAAAATTATTGAAATTTTTACAAATTTTTCAGTAAGAAAATTAATTAAATATAAGGGTTAAAAAGGGGGTAACTCAAATATTTTCATTTCGTAAAATTTCTAAATTTAAAAAATAAATTTTTTTAACGAAAAATTATCCATACTCTAAATGATGTAATGAAATAGGGAAAATTTGACGCTTCAAATAAAAGATGAGATATAAAAAAAACAGTTAACAAAATCGTGCTAGTGGGACAAGTTTGATATGCAAATTTTGTCACTATATAAATGCATAGAATTAGCAAATTAAAATAAAAATCAATATTTATAATTAAACTGCAATAAAATTCTCTAAAATAAAAAAAAAAAACAAAAATTCTTTAAGTGAATCACAGTTAATTTCAATGACCTAAAATTCAATGTAATTTTAATTCAAGAAAATTCAAAAAATTCTCAACATATAAAAATATTTCGAAAAAAAATACCTTTTTCAAATTAAAATTTTTAAATTTAATTAATTTTTTTTTTTTGTTTTAAATCAAAATTGAATTATTTATATGAAAAATTTCTTTGAAAATATTTCGTTTAAAAAGTAGGATCCATTGTTGGTTTAAAATTTAAGTAGCAGAAACGTGAGCGGGACTTTTTGATGAATTTTAAAGTCCCGCAGGTACCTTAAAATTCCCCAACGTTCCACTGTAGTCAAAGACGTCATCATAATCACGTACCAAAAAAAAAAGGAGTGAAAAAAAATGATGATGATGATGCGTCACTCGGTTTGATACAAATACAAAATTCAAAGCACACACAACGCTGTTTGTCCTAAAAATAAGAGTTTGTTGCCCACCAGTGGAAATGTTTATCTTTTTTTATCAGAAAGTTCAATGAGTTTATTTTTAATTTATTCCCCTCGAAATTTTACTATTTAATAAATACATGACCAATTTTTAATTTTTACCAATAAAAAAAAATTTATTGTATTTTTATATATTTCCTATTTTATTTTCAATATATTTTTTTTTAAATTTTTAATCCATTTATTTAAATATATATTTTTATTGCATTTTATAAATATTATTTATATTTTTTTTTTATTTTTTCTTATTTTATTACTATTTATTAAATATAAATTTTTTCTATTTCCAATTTCCCGTTTAATTGTTAATAAATAAATAAAATAATTTTCCACAACAATATTGAAAAATACAATACTATGAAAAATAATTCGCAACGGAAAAAAAAGCAAATTCTTTGGAAAATTTTTCTAATGGAAAATTGTAGCCTTTTTTTCGTCAAAAAAAAAAAAAAAATCGATAAATCATTGAAAAATGGAATGTCATCGGATAAGGAAAGAGAAATATTGGCAATTTTTATATAGTTGTCAAGTTTTATAGTGATTGCAATAAACTTTGCCTCACAAATTTAAATTTCGCCTCAAGGCACAAATATTTATAAATGTAGGAGTGAATATAATATAAAGGTGTGCAAGATAATGTGCACTTTAGTGAGCGTAAATAACTTATAGTGAGGTTTGATATTTACGTGAGGTCACTAAACCCTATTGAAATTTATAATAAAGAATTGAGAGACAGATAAAAAAAAAAAAAAATCAACACCGAATCTTTGATGAATTTCTTTCAAAATGATTCTTATCATGACAAGAGAAAAAAACTCATAAAAAAAAAAAATGATCCGTTATTTTTGCGAATAAAAAAAAAAGAGAGAAATAATTTAATAATCTCCTATATATGTAATAGTTAATGTATTAAAAAAAAGAAGAGGAATAAAAAATATTTATATAAAAGCTCGATTAACTTTTGAAAATGAGTTTCATAAAACATTTTTCTTTTTCCCTTTTGATAAATAATTTGTTGTTCACGTATGTTTAATTTAATTCTAATTGGTTCCTACAAATTATATTTAGCAGGACCAATATAATCTGCTTATGAAATTTCCTGAATGTCTATATGATTTTATTTTTTCTGGATTTAGATCTGCGCACAATTTTACGTAAGAATTCATAATCGAATTCTTTCGCTCTCTATTTGTAATTTGCACTCTAATTTTGCGAGGGGGGAAAAAAATTTCGAATAAAAATTTTTCGATTTAATAGAAAAAGAAATATAAAAAAAAAAGTATTTTCTAAATAATTTTCTCTTTCAAATAAATAATGAATGAATTAATTAATAATTAAAATAATTTAATAAATAAATTATAATAATTTATTTCAATTAACTTTATTTTTTTTTGTTATTATTATTTTTATTATTTATTTATTATTTCATTATTTATTTTTACTATTTTTTAATTTTTTTTTTAATTTTATCCAAAATTTTAATTAATTTTAACTAAATAAACAATTTTCAAAATTATCACATATCAAAAATTGTGAATTAAAAAGTGATTGTTATAGAAAAAGGTAATTTAGAAAAGTAAACAGGTGAAATATAACGTAAACAGTGATTGCGCAAAGAAGCAAACAGGTTGATTAAGTGATGCGAGATTTAATGATATAAAAAAGAAAATATAATATAATCAGAGTATTTAGGATGAGTGTGTGTGTGTGTAAAATGACGTAAATTAGCATCGTCACAATTAATAGCTAGTTCTTCAAATCTCTTGTCATTATACAAAGTAAAAGGTGTGAATAAGTAATCAGGAAACAGTTTATATTATAAGGGACAATAAATTTATTATCGATTATGACAGGATGCATGGCAACCATATATATATAGTGAATTTTAACGATACAAGGAGATCAAGTGTACAATCACAATCGTACATTCTTAAGAAGTGACATTATTTTTTTCTTTCATTGAAATCCATAAGGAATTGTTCATTATTCTAAAAAAGCATTTGTCATTCTATTATTTATAAAATTAATTCATTTTATTATTATTTTGATTTTTTAAATTTTATTAATTTTTTAATTATTATTTATTTTACCTTTTAATTATTATTTATATTAATTAATTAATTTTATTTTTTAAACTTTATTCCATTTTTCAAATAATTTTTTTTTGTGTGTTTAATTTCATAATTATTGTTTTATTACAACAATGTAATAAAACCAGTTACTTTTTATTACGTTATTTTTTTTTTAGCAAAAAATATATCCGAACCATAAATTCTTTTTTCTTTAGGGGGAAAAAAATCTGATATACCGAAAGCTCTTTAAAATAAATGCAAATTACTTCCCGAAAATCTGCGTCATTCGATTTTCTTTTTTTTTTTACAAAAAACAAGAAGAATGTATCGCGGGATCGTAAAAGACGAAAACCAGTCCTTAAACTGGTTCAGCCCTTTCGTAAAAATTGTGCGCAGTTCAGAAAAAGAACATACCAATTCTTTTGTATATATATATATATATATATAAATCTCACTAATGAGGGAATTCCGCAAATAAAGAAAAAAGAAATTTAAAAGAGTAAATCAATGCCATATTTTAATTTTAATTATTAACTTTAACATTGAATTTAAACACAACTTTTTTTTTTTTATTAATTCTTTATAGAAAAATAAAAATAAAAAAAAGTAAATTACAACTAAAAAAGTAAAATAAAACTAATTTATAGAAAAATAATTAATTAAAATTAGTTAAATTTTGAACTAATTAAAATAAAAAATAACTTTCTGCGCGTCATAATTAGACGTCACAAAATATTAACAAAAAAAAACGTCGAGAGAAAAAAATCCAATTACTACTTTGAAAATTAAGAATCAATTAATTAATTATAAGGAAGCAAAGCGCAAGCATTAGAATAAAATGCGTAAGTGAGGTTGAATGAGAATTTTCTGCTTAACACTGCTCTAATTAAATATGTTAATCAATGATACATAAACAATTGACTCTATACAATTAACAATGTCATTGTATCTCTTTTTAATCTTTTATTTTAATCAAACAACTATTCCAGGTACGTGAAAATATTATGAACGTATAATAAGAAAACAAAAAAAAAACCCTATAAAGTGACGTTATATTTCCGATGACGCTCCTTTTTTTTTAAATATTAATATTTAATATAAAAAAAATATTTCCGCGAGTGATTTGAATTACTTTTGCATATAAGAGAATTAAAGAAAATTTTTTTTATTGAAAAATAGAGTTAATTTCCTGCATATAAAGCCGTTAGTCACAGGTCACTTGTGTCAATGACTAGAGAATATAAGAATTCTGTGTACATAATATATATAAAAAAAAAAAACGTCTTGAGACACTTTGCCATCATGATATGGCTCTTGAAGATTTTTAATGATAATAGTTAATTAATGGACGCGTCAATATTGACGCAGCTCATGTCTCAATTATAATCGACTATATAGAATTCAGATAAATTGTATATCAAATAGTTTGTTAGAAAATGAAACATAATTTTAAATTCGATTAAATTTTCCTTGTCAAAAATAATAAAAAGAATTTTTTTCATTTGAAAATATAAAAATAAAAAAGATTATGCAAATTAATGTTTTTTTTAAATCACCGAAATTAATTAATAAAATTAATAAAAATTATTAATACTTTTTATAATACAATTTAGTAATGAGTTGAGAATTTTTGCTTTTAGCAAAGTAAATAATAATTAGTATATTTATCATTGAAGTTATCTAATTTTTTTTTCTTATAAATTGAGACATTAATAATTTGTTTAATCAATATTGTCAATGATTACCTTGTCAAGTTTTAAAATTAATTATTACAATGATTAATTTTTTATCATACTTTTTTTTTATTTCTTTTGTATACTTTTTCTCAATTTAATTAATAAAATTAATTATTTAATTGTTTCAATTAAAATGTAATTTATAATTTTTCTTTATTAATTTTTTTTTTAATTGAAATTTAAATTCCGAATTTTACTATTTCTATTATTTAATTATATGTTTTCATTGAAGTACCAATAAGGAAGGTAATACAAAAAACTGCAAAACGTTCGTGTAATCTCGACAAAAAAAAAAAAAAAAAAAATTCATACTTGATCTTGACCTGGGTTGGCTTAATATTGCTCTTTTCGAATGCAATCGAAGACGTAATATATATAACAACCAATTTGTTTCCTTGCGCAATAAAATATAAACACGCACCTGACGGTTCAAATAAAATTTAAACGAAATCATTTCTCATTATATGAAAAGTGGGACAAATGCAAAAAGAACTTATCATTCGTTATTAATTATATATATATACATTGTATTTCAATTACTGTTGTCTTAAGAAAAAATAACAACTAAAATAAATTATAATAAATAACTAATAAAAATAATAATTTACTATTATTATTCATTAATTTTATTGTTAAAAAAAAAAATTAGATAAAAAAATTTTTAAATTCCCGTAAATCATTATGATTGAAAAAGAATTTATGGTTAATTTTTTTTTTTCAAAACAAATTCAATGATTTTTTTTTCCAGAGTATTGCAAATGTAGTCAGTGAAGAAGCATTTTATAAAAGAATTGGACTAAATTTGTTGATAAGACAAACTAATTCTGAACCACTTGTGGAAATGACTGCTAAAGAATTTATGTTTGGTTACAAATCAACATTAGTTACTCTTGGTTATCATCTAATGCCAAATTGGATTAAATTCAATAAACTCGGTCTTATTGATAGGGTAAGATACAAAAATTAAATAGATATATTATCTTTAGTAAACAAAATTTAAAAAAAAAGAGAGAAATTTTATCTTTAATAATAATAATTTTAATAATAGAAAAGTAAACAATTTTATCTTTAATTAAGAAAGATATAAAATCATTAGAAAGAGAAAAATAGACTTTGAAAAATATTATCTTTAACAATAGAAAAATTTTTCCTTCCTTATGAGATAAAATTATATATATATATAATTTCTAATTTAATAAATATGAATAAATTTAACTTGAATTAATTTCACAGATGTACGATTTTACCGGCGATTTCGAAACCGTTTACACTGGGGAAGTTGACGTGAAAAAAACGGGATTAATTGAGAAATACAATGGAGATGAAAATTTACCCCAATGGGAGGGAAAATGTGCGAATGTTAATGGTGCAAGTGATGGAACGAAATTTCCAAGTTACATTGAACCAAACGACACTCTATTATTTTTCAGAAAAAGCCTTTGCCGAAGTGCAGAAATGGTAAGTTCAAATAAATTTTTTTTAATTTATAAAACTAAAATTTAATTTGCAAAAAAAAGACTCACCGATCGGTGAATCACATGTTGGAATTATCACAGCATCCCTTATTTCTGGACCAAATTGTACTCAATCTCCTCCGAAACAAAAGCGATAAGCCTCCCTTCAGAGAATACTCACTCACAATACACTATATTTTAACACGAAAATCACTCCTGTTTTAATTAAAATAATTTCTAATGGCTCACTAAAACGCTAGCGTTTTAGAAAAAATTCTCTCACAGAAACGTGTTTTTTCAAAAACGAATACCGATTTTTAATTAATCACTGATTTCACAAGTTTACAAATACATAACCTACAAATATAACGACACTCCCGACACAAATAACAATTATATAGAACCGCTCTACCTTGTACCGTAATATTACGATTCGGAAGAGTAAATAGTTCCCTTGTCAATATATTTCTTCTACTTCACAAATTACGCAAAGTAAAAAATTAAATTTTCCAAACATCTATAAAAAGAAAACAATTTTTGACTTGAGAAAATACATCTATAAAAAGAAAACAATTTTCACTTGAGAAAAGAATATTTTCTCAAGTGATATATTTAAAATCATATTTGGCAAAAATACACCACCGACATCTATGTGGATTGTAACGTAACCTAACATAAAATTCACTTTGTTGAATAGAGAAATATCTCCTGTATTTAATTTTGATAAAATAACATTGCTAAATATAAAAAAGTTTTACTCAAATTATAGAAATATCTCTATTGAACAAGGGAACGAAGGTTTCGAACCGTAATCCCAACTTCCGGTTTGCGGCTTCAACCCTCTGTACTTACCCCTCCGAAGTCCAGGCGAACACTGACCGGATGCGCGCGCCGCAACCACCCTTGTTCGGTCCCTCTAACCCTATTGGCTGAGGCCCACTGTTCATTGAGGGGTAGTGGCGCGAAACTTCAAATTAAAGTTTAAATTTTAATTAAAAATTCCAATTGAAAACAAATTTATTTAATTAAATAAATAATTTTGCAAAATTCCTGCAATTTTATTTTCATTTCTAGATAATACTGATTGTAATTTAAATAAAATTCTTTTAATTACTGAAAGAAATGAAAACAGAAAACAATTGAGGTTATGTTACTCATATTTACACTTTATACAAGTTATACAATATGTACAATATATTATTATTCTATTGTAATTTGATTAAATAAGCAATTGTGATCTACAAAATTATTTAGTGAACAAAAAATATATTAATTAATTGAAAAATCGAAACATATATTCGTAAACATTATAATTTTCGATTAATTTTTTTCTGTAAACGTAAGTAATTATTAATTTTGTAAAATTCATATATACATTTTTTTTTGCAGGTTCGAATAGGAGAGAAAACAATTCGAGGTCTCCATACGTATCATTATAAATTCAAGGACAATGAACTGGACAATGGTGTACATAATCCGGACAATGCTTGTTTTTGTCGAAAAGGACGATGCCTTCCAGAAGGACTGATCGATGTCACCGATTGCTATTACGGTAAGAAAATAAAATAAAGAAAAAAAAAAAATGATCATTGCTTAGTCATTGTTTACGTCAATTTTTATGTGTTCCTTGCCATTTTCTGCAAGCTCTCTATATAAAATACTCCAATGGAGATTAATCGTCAAAGAATGAATTCTCAAATAGTTTGCCGCATACATGCGATGATTTGGCGATATATATTACACATATGAACTAGTTTCGCATTCTATTTTTTTTTCCATTTTTGAATTTTATAAAACTTTTATAAATATAAACTTTGTTAATAAAGATTTGCTTTTTCCATTTAGCTGCGAGAAAAATAGTATCAGGTATAAAAAAAATTTATATCTATCAAATGACGCAAATGCAATGCGCTTCTTTAATCTTGCTCGAATCTGAAAGGAAAAAATTTGTATAAATCACGTTTTTTTTAGATTAAAAAAAAGAAACGAAAACTTATATTCTGTGTGTAAATATAGATATCTATTAATTTGGAAATTTCTTACGCCTCTTTGAAAAGATTCCATTTCCGTGATTGTTGGGGAGTAATTAAATGCAAAAAAAAAAAAACTGGTCTTGAGACACTTCTTTTTTTCAGATTCGACGATTAATTGAATGACAACTATTTTCAGTAGCACAAGGATTTGAGATGTATTTTTATCTTTTTTTTTTTTTTGTAAATTCAATTTACAAATTATTTATTTTTCGTTCCTTTTTTTCTGTTAGACAAATATTATAAATTATTTATAAATCAATTAAGTTAACTTATTTTAGTATAATAATAATTATTAACGAAATTAAAAAAATGATATGGAAATTTTTCGTCAATTATGAATTATGTTTGATAAATTGAATTTTTTTTTTTTCGCAGGTTTTCCAATTGCACTTTCTTATCCTCATTTTTACATGGCAAATCCAATAATTTCGGAAAAAATAGAGGGACTAAATGCTGATCCTGCGAAACATGAATCCTATTTTTATATTCAACCACGATCTGGATCGCCAGTTGATTTGGCTTTTCGTTTTCAAATTAATATGGCACTTCAGGACATCAGTCGAATTTCACAAGTTGAAAAATTCGCGAATGTTATTCTTCCTCTTCTTTGGTTTGAAATTGTAAGTCGTTTCTATTTTCTAAATTTATAAATAATTGAAAATTTATTTATTTAGATACCTAAATTTATATTTAAAAAAAAAAACTAATAATAAAAATTTCAGGGAATGTACGAGCTTCCAGATGCAGTGAATAATAAATTTAAATTATATCTCAATTATTTGCCAATGGTGCAAGATGTTGGGATATATTTATCGTTTATTGGCGGTTCAATTGTCCTATTATGGAGTATCGTGAAAATTCTTTTACATCAACCAAAAAGAGGTATGCAGTGGTGTGAAACAGAAATGCAAAAGCAAAGATTACATATTTTGAGTGATAAGGAATCAGGTGCCAAATCGAAAGAAATGGAAGTTTATTATAATTCTCTATTGAGTGCACAAACGGAGGAAATGACATCAATTGCAATTGAAGATATGCCAATTATCAAAGAAGATGTCGCTTGAATTTTTCATTTTTTTTGTTTTTTTTTAATACAAATATCGATTCTTGAGAAGATTCTCAATGCGATTTACTTGAATGTTAATCGTAAGAGCTTCTTTTTCTGATTTGACAATATATTTTTTTCCCATTAAAAAAAAAAAACAAAGAAATTTAGCTACACCCCAAAGATTAATTCAAAAAATATATCAGAAAATAACAGAATGAAGAGCTCGAAATAATTTTGAAAATTAAAAGTATCTTTCAATCTCAAAATTTGAATTTTGTAGCTGCAATGAAAATAATTTAATTCATTAAAAATGGAATTAATGAAATTAAAATTTAAAAACAAATGTGATTAAAAATTAAATTCACAGATTTTTTAATTAATAAAATTAATATTTTGTTTGAAGATTGAAAAGTGAAAATTACCAAAGTATTTGGTAAAATATTTAGCAAAGTGTGCAAGAAAATTGTAATGATAAAATCTGTAAATATGTAAATAGGAAAAAACTAGATAGATTAAGAATGACCGCTTCAATATATCCAGTAATATTTTATATTTTAATGGAATATAAAGGATATTTGAATAACTTTTCCAGTGTTTATTATTATTTTTTTTCACGACTTTTTTTGTGTTCACAAAACATAATTCATTGAAAATTTGAAATTAATGATTTGATATTATAGAAAATTGTTTCAAAAAATATTTTTAAAAAAATGTCACTAATAGAATTGCTTTTACCAATGTTACATTTAAAATATAAAACAGATTTGGAATAAGTAAAAAAAAAAAAAATTTGCAATTTTGAGATAGACAATAAAAATACAATGTTAATCTCTCTGCAAATAGTGTGATGATCTTGCCTTATTTATAATATAGTAAATACTCTAATAATTTAAATAAAATTCTAATATTATATAATATTGTAGAATTATCGAAAATGCCTTATCGTTCAATTATATTAAATTTCCAAAGTGTTCATTTCTTTTTACAGGTGAAAAATATGTTTATTTATTTCGAAAATCTAACTTTTTACATTATAAAAATAGAAATATTTTTAAATTTAATTTTTTAAATATAAATAATATTTTTACAATTATAATTTTGTGACTTAAATTTTTTTTTAAATATTTTTAACATATTTTTTACCAATTTAAAGAAACATTGTAAGGGCTTCTATAATATTAAGATGTATAAAGTTTGCTCAACAATATTTTTTTTGCAAGAAGACTGTAAAAATTTTTGGATTAAGGCATCTTTGTTAATTAAAATCTACGATTAGGATTTTTACTACTTATTTATGCTTTATATATTTACGTATTCGAGAAAAGGGTCAAAATGTGTTTTCTGTGTGGTATTTTATATAAATTATTATTCTAAACACATTAACCTTTTTTTTTTTTGCAAAAAAAAATAATAACAATTAAGATAAATATAATTTAGTGTGCGCCAATGCGTAGAGGAATGTGATAGTTTTTTTTCTCGGATAGTTATTTAACTGTAATATGTTAATCTTGCCAGTGAAGTAAAAGTATCTCAACACTGCGAGAACACTTCAACATTGCTCAATAAAGAATTTTTTGTAAATAAAAAAAAATTTTTTTTATTTAATAATAATATGTTTTTTTTTTTTAATCAGGATGACAAAAATAAAAACTCATTTTTTAAAAGAAATTTCTTTTTAATTAATTCATTGTTTACGAACAAATGAGAGATGTACATCAAAATGATAATTAAATTCGATGAAATTAATTTTACAACATTTTGAAAGTCTATAAATAGTCGCAAAACAATATTTTAATGTGCCAAGTATGCAACATATTGTGAGATAAGTTCAGGGCAACAAAAATATTTATAAAAAAAAAAATGGCAAAACTTGTAATGAAAATATTAGATCAAAAACAAAATTATTAATTTTATATAATGATGATATATATTGCAACTTTTTTTTTTCCTCTTTTTAACAAATATTTGTCCACGGAATTATTGACAAAATTGCACCTGACTTATGCAATGTTACTTTGAAAAAGAATAAATATTGTGCACTGCTACAAAAAAAACATCTTTCACAATCAGTAAGATGTTTTTTTTTTAAATTCTTTACATTAATTTTTTTTCACTGATAATAATGAAATTGAAAAATTATTTTTTACATTTAATTCTCAAATAATGAACTTTGATAATTCGTTATTTTTATTCTTGACATTTAATTTTCAATATTAAACTTTGAAAATTCTTTAAAATTCTGTCATTTCTCCTTCTAATATATTATTAACTAATATTATTATTTTATTATTATTATTATTGAACGTGATTGATTTCAATATGAATAAAAAGTTCACATTCGGCAAAATATCATTGGAATCGCAGATTTTCCACTCATACGTCCAGTCAAACACGAGACAATTGTGTATTGTAATTTGACTTTTGAGTCGTAGGGAAAATGGTTAGTAAAGGCTTAATTAAAAAAGGAAGTGAGAAACAGAAAAAATTAAAAAGTCGAAGCATTAAAAAGCAACAAAATTTCACAATCAACACTGAGACTAGCGCAAACTGGCTACTGGAATTTAAATTGATTCTCCCTTTGCTTTTCTCGATCATCAATATTTTGATCTGTTTGTTTGTTTGTTTTTTTTTTTAAATAAATTACAAAATAAATATACAAAAATAAATTGTCCTCAATTTGGAAAAAAAAATAATTTTAAATTAATACCAGATCGAAATAATGATAAATTCGAGACCTTAATAAAAAAAAAATCTTAGATTTCCTTGGAAAATAAATAAATAATTTAAAAGGCTTTTTTAATTAAATTAATTTGTACAGTAATAAGCAACTTTTAGTTTTTCTCTTATTTTCTTGTGGAAATAATAGAAAACTAAGATTCTCATAAGGTCTCAAAATTCAATTTTCTTAGTGAGGAACATTATCCTCTTGTTCTTTTTTTTAAATATATAAACAAAATAATATAAATGCACGAGGTTGCCACAAATCTTCATGCTTGTCCGTTTTTTTAATAAAAAAAAAAAAAAACAAAAAAAAATTTAATCCATTGACCGGTATAGTTAAATATATTTTTACAATTTCTGTTTACTACTGTCGTATAAATGTTTTTAAGAAATTGTTACTATATATCATTTGTAAAATTAATATTTACGGCCATGTGGTTTTCTTTTTCTCAGGACTATTATATATATATATACCACTTTGTACATTGTCAGTTAAATTAAAATGGAAAATTACAGATAAATTCTCCAAAGCGTACTTCGAAGCGGTACTTTTTTTTTTCATTAAAAACATTTCTTTTTTTTCAATTTAAATAATCTTGATTGTCACAGAAGCTTCGTAAGCAACCGCTGCCATTTTAGCAACAAAAATTATATAATTTTTTTTTTACAAAAATTTTTGTTTAATCATAAACGAAAATTTTTGCTTACAATTATTAATTTTTTTTGACAAAGATTTCCAATTGTAGATTTTTCTTTGTTCACTCAAAGGGAAATCTTTGAGAAACAATTTAATGCAATTGTATTGAATACAAGAAAAAAATGCTTTTAGCATTTATTATTCTTTTTTTTTTTTTTTTAAAGCGGTGATTCGCTTATATTTTCTCATGCATACAATCTCTTACTGAAAAGTAAGGAAATTTCTAATTTAATCAATATTAACACTCATGCAATTTGACGACAAATTTCTTGTCCATTTTTTTAAAAATAACTTTGTTTCATTTTAATTAAAGCTAATAAATCTTTTTTTTTGTCGTCTTGGATTTTGCAAAATTGCATTTTTACGACACTTTTCAGAACAAACTTTTTCAGACTCCATTCAAAAAAAAAGAACCAAACTAAAACCTTAGAAATAAGGATTTGACTTATGACAATAAAATTATCTCCACATATTTCTTATATAATAAGATTTTTTTTTTTAATATTTTTTAACATTCTCTTCAATTTTTTTTTTAAATATTTCTCTACGTCTTTGAAATGTTTTTTTTTTATTTTTAATAAAATCAATTATTTTCAATACCTATTATTCTAATCTACAAAACAATTTCAAATTGAAATTTGTTTTATTAGCCTGAAAATAAATGATTTTATTAAAAATTATTTTGGTCGACTAAATCTAGGAAATTTTTTATATATTTTTACTTTTTATATACTTTTTTTTGTCTTGCATTTAGTGCAATTAGTAAATATATTTTTTTTATATATATATATATATAGATAGAATATACCTAAATAGTTTAACAGTGGAATTTTGTGTTAGCAACCACTGAAGAAACTGTATCACATTCATTTCAATGTTTCTACAAAAAATGATTTTATCGTGAACCAATTAGTTTCCACACTCACAGCACGTATTGTTTACAATATTACGTTATTTAATAATTTAGAGACGAAAAAGAAAAAAACAATTAAGGCTTGCACATGACTTTCCAAGTTGCCTTAAAGCTTTTTCATTTTATTTTTTCTTACTCTTGGAAAAAAGCGTCTAACATTTATTTATTATTATTTAAAGGGCGTCGCACAGTGAATGTGTAAGCCAAGGCAGAGATGAATGAGATTCAGGAGTAAAGACTAAAAATCACGCCACTTTAAAATAAAATCTAATAACATCTAAGCAGGCCACTTTACATCTTTTTTTTTTTTTTTTTTTTGAAGCCTTGTTTGCACGTTTATACATCGTATCCATTCTTCGTACCTTGGAAACTATTTTTTAATTTTTTTTTTCTTTTTTTTGTAGTTATCTAATTTTGTGGAGATGTGAAATCAAAAAAAAAAAAAACTTAATAAATTACTTACATCTAGCGTCTTTTGTTTCCATGGCGACGAGAGAATTTCCGATTTTTTCTGTAAAGAAACAATTTTTATTTATCTTTTCTTTTAAGTTTTTTTTAATTTCAAAATTAAGTGAATAAAATTGAAAAAAAACGTACCTAATTCTACTGGGCGAAGGAACGGGAGCGTGTTCGGCAATAACTGGCAATACTGATGTAAATTTATCAGTGGGTCTCAAAAGACGAGCTGTTCTTGATGATAATTTCCAAATGAGCCTCTGTCTGTGTGGAGTTTGTTCCTGTGCATTATATTTGCTGAGTATTGCACCAACCGCTTCGTGAGTTGAAAAGAAACTACCGTCTGAGATCTATCAAAAAAAATAGAATTATAAAAAAAAATAATAATTTATAAATAAATTTATTGTCAATTATTCAAGAATAGAATAATTAAAATTATTCTAAATTTTAAAAATATCTTCAATAAATAAAAAGGCAATGAACCTTGCAAATTTTTTGTAAATCAGCAGCGAATTCGACCAATCTAAGCATTTCGTGCGCAGGTGTTGGTGGTATTGTCATAGAAGAAGGTCCGGCAATAGAACAAATCATCGTTGCATCCGCATTTGAATCAAGACGATTCACAGCAGCATCCAAATACGTGCAAAGTAAAACCAACGCTATCTCGGATGGTCTCAAATTCGCGCAATTACCATTGCAAACAATCATTTCCAATCTCAAAAGTAATTCAGATTCCTGCGAAACAAAAAAAAAAAATTTATAATTTAGAACGTTTAAAAAAAATCGAATTACAATTTTAATGTATAAAATTTAAAAAAAAAAATATTTACCGAAACAACGCTGGCATAGAGTTCACCGAGACCCATTTTTGATGCAACAGTGTGAAACATAACGTTAAATAGACGAAGAAAAGAAAGGGCAGTGATGGGTTGTGTGCCAGGTGCCCATTCTAATTTATTTCTAATAACATCTGACATACGTTTTAAATCACCGCCGGTGCATTTACACTGCGAGATGGAAACTAAATGATCGGCATCAAGTGACTGAGCCATTTGGACGGCGGCTATATGAAATGATGATACACTAATGCAGGCCATGTGCTTTGGTCTGGCCTTCATTTTTGTAAGGAATCGATCAATTAAATTGATGGCGATGAAAAATACGTCCGATGGAAGATCATACCAAACTTTTAGACATCTAAGTACGTGGGCCGAGCCATCGCGTGCACCCATTGTGATTTCATCATTCTAAAAATTAGACAAAAAAAAAATTATTAAATTTATTTTTTAAATTTGAAAATTAAATTTTTTTTTAAATTACAATCTTTAGGTAAATTAAAATTGTGTCCAAATTATTCTCACCTGAGTGGATATTGGTAATTGAAGATTGGGCTGATATTTCACCTCTAGCACAAGAGCTTCTTGGAGTTGCTCCAGGAGAGGTTGGATTGCATCCGGTACTACAGGGAAGCCCGATGTGTCCATTCCTGCAATGTGTGACGGACGGTGACTACGAATAAACGTAATAACCAAATTCGTTTATCACAAGTCTTGTAGTCCAGGTGACCAGTCACACTACAAGAATGGCCCAGCTGGCTGGCCTGGTATCTATAAAAATCAACAAAAAAAAAAAATTAGTATTCCAAATTCCCATGAATTTTCTATTATTAAAATATATATATTTCACTTTTATATTTAAATATTCTCAATAGAGAATTAAAATATTTTTACTTTCCAATAAACAGAAACATGCGCAATAAATTCAAGGACAATAAATAGATTTGTTGTCCTTGTGCTTTTTTTTTTCTTACATCAGTCGTCATCTGCTGTCATTAATTTCATTTAAAGTCGAGAATTTTTCTCTCTTTTTTTATTTTAAACCGATAATAAGCAAACAATAAAATTAATTTTCATGAAAGAATTTAAAATATAATTTTTTGTTAATTGAAAAATACTTTTTTTTTATATTTATTATTTTCTTTCTGTGGTAAATAAAAAAACTTCTCTAGAGAAATTTTTTTAAGAAAAAAAAAAATGATTCGCCTTTTCTGCATTTGTTTTAATAAAAAAATAAATGAATTTTTTTGGATTAAAATAGAATCAAACGTACAACGAGAACGAAAATACATGTTGAGCAAGAGGTCTGTTTTTTTTTTAAACAATGGACAATGACCGCACATTCAAGCCAAATCATTATCGATAAGCATTTCGAATACAACGCGCATTAAAATGTGAATTAAATTTGTATTTTATTTGAATGAAAAACAACGTATTTTTATATGTATAAAATAAAAAAATAGAACAAAAAAAGGTTAATTAGAATATAAATAAAATCACACATGAAGCATCAGTGTTAAAATATTCTATATAGAAGATTTAAATCAAGGTAACGTTTCGAAATGTTTTTCTCATGGGGAAACAATTTATTTCGTTGGGATATATTTAAAAAAAAAAAAAAAAAAATAACAAACTCTTGGAAAATTATCAAAGAATCAAACTGATTAATAAACTACTAAAATAAAAAAATTAAATTACAAAATAAAACAATTAATAACTTATAAAAAAAAAAAAAAAAAAAAAGTAAATAATAATAAATTTATGTCAACTTTAATGATGCTAAACGATTTTCAATAAATATTGGTATACGATGATAATATAATAATAAATTATGATCAATAAATATAATAATAAAATAATCAATAAGCAATAAAAATAAAAATCAATTGACAATAATAAATAATTACAATTTAATTGCACTTTAATCTATTTTTTTCAATAAACTAAAATATTTATTATATAACAATTACTAATAAATTTTAAAATATAGATAGTATTAAAAAAAAAAGAATTTTTAAAATAATTTAACAATCTAATACCCAACTATGATGAGTTTTCATTTTACGTTTCGACCATTTGGATTCATCAATTAGGACCGAGAATCATTATTAACGCTTGAGTGTGTCTATATACGAACAATAAGAATAGGCTTTCACAAAGATTTCTATTTCCACTTTCAAAGAGTTCCTTTGAAAAAAAAAAACTAACTCTACTCATATGACTTTTTACATGAACATTCGACACATCAATCAAAAAGAAACTGTAATTTATTATTGATAACAAAAATGATAAAAAAAAAACTGCAATTGCAATACTACTCATTAAGTTTTTTTTTGAAATTATAATATATATTACGTTTTATAAACAAGAACTAAAGCTCCCGAGATTTAGTGTCATCAAATTCTATTTTTATTCTTAAACTGGCCTTGACTGGAAACTAAATCTGGCAAATTATTTCTCACCTTGTTGCTCTATATAAACTTTTTTTTTTATTTATCCCGTTTTTTTACGCTCATAAAATAAAAACAATGAAATAAAAAATAAATTTTAAAAATGTAGAGAATACTAAATGAAAAAAAAAATACAGACAGAAAAATGATAGAAAATCTTTTTTTAAAAAAAAACAATGACTAGAAAAAAAAGGTATGGTCAGGTATAATTTTTACCGCCAAAAATTACTATCCCTCACCAGCTGCATTTTATGGTATTTATAATATTGATCAAATATATATTCCTGTGGGATATATCAAGGGAACGTTATATTATACGAAACATCTGCGATGAAAAACCATATATGAGAAAAAAGCGGGGAGAGAGAGAGAGAGATGACATCTCGTCCGCACATGTCCTCAATTTTAAAAATTAACGGATATTAAAAATAATTCAAAAAAAATATATATATAAAATTTTACGCGCTTTGAGTCACGTAATGTTGAATGATTTCTTTTTCTTATTTACAATCTTGACGTCATTTCAACAGGCCAAAACTTGTCGATTCTTGTCTGAACTAGTCATTTATTTGTGAAAAGTTGATAATTATTTTTCCATTTTGTAAAGATTTCGACTAAAATAAATATTGAAAATAGAACCTTTTTTTTTTATCTCAATATTACATTATTTACAAAGAAAGTTTGTCAAATAAAATTTTTAATTTTCTCCACAATTTTAAAATAAAAAAAAAAAAAATTCTGAATAATTTTATTCCACACTTTTTCTTTATATAGAATTTTCTAGAAATAAAAATAATATTCTGCAAAAATTTTTTTATCATTCTAAAAGCAATTCAACTGAAACAAAGAAAGTTCACTTATCTTACTCTTAGGTTTTTTTTTTATCAATATTTCACCATTGAATTTAAACTTGACCTTCAATTTTGCAAACTGATTATTATAATTGTTAATAAAAATATGAATGGAAAAAATAATTTAAGTGTAAAATTTTTTTTACTTACAATTGTAGTTTATATAGTAGAGGGTGGTTTATATCACAGTAATTTTGTACTATTATCGACGAACAAAGGGGGTTTTCCTATGAAGCGTCAGTCAAAAAAAGAAACGGCTGATGCAACGATCTGTCAAAAATTCACTTTACGAAATACTTTCAAGGCACGCTTTTTATTCCATTTCGTTTTTTTTTTTTAAATAAAATTGACCAGACACACAATTTTTTAAATACTATTCAGACTTATGCGTTGCTTTATATTGTAAATCTCTTGTTTATTAATTATCGATTGACAGAAATTGATACTTTTGATTCTATTTTTTCTTCTTGAAAATCGATAATAATTTATTAAAAATTAGGTTTTTGATCCTTTGCTATAGATTCTGCTGTTATCCTTGAAGGGAAGAATAAGGCTTTCCCTAACACGAAATGTTCTCATGACTAAAGACACTTTGAGTGCTGGATACACTACAAAATTTGCTCCATTTTTTTTCTTCAACACTTAATTAACAAAATTATTCGAATTTCGTTAACAAAAAATTTTGCACCTCTTTTGTTTATATAAATACACAGATATAAGAATTGTAAAATATTTTCTCAAAGCCGTTTACTATAGCGTTAATTTCATCTGACTTTGGTGATAATCGGTCACGAGCGTTGAAACTTCGTATACAATATCAGGCTTCAAACATACAATATATTCCACCTCTCAACTGACGAACTTTCACGAAATTCTACGGCTCTATCCGAGTTTCAGATTCGGTTGCTAAGTTCTTTTACCCCTAAATATTGTTTACATGTTAAAAAAAAGTCCACTTTTTTTTTTTTCATTGTCATACGTCATCTCAATTATTATTTGCATTTCAAAAAAAACTGCTATCACTTTTAATATGAAAAATATTTCAAAATATAATTTCAAATCTGATATATTTTTATTTGTGATTAAAAAAAGTAGATCAAAAAAACAATGATAAAGTTCTGATAAATCTTGGGTTTTTTTTATCATGGTTACCAAATTTTACAATCCCTGGGAATTTTACTCAATTTTGATTATTTATATAAAGCAGAAAAAGTGTTACCAAATTGCCGCCTACAAAAAAAAATTTCACAATTTCCCTCAAAGAGATTCAGACGAAAATAATTAACAAGATACTTGGTACATCTTCAACTTTCACTTTTGACGTCTAAGTAAACAAGAGATTTACAAATATAATTTAAATGCAATTTTCAAAAAACAGAAATTAAAGCAAAAGAATTTTGTAATATAATAGAAAATGTATTAGAAAAAAAAATTTCTTTGTCTATATATATTTTGAAGGTCCGTCATTTTTAAATTGACCTAATAAAAAAAAAATGAGATCACGAATAGGCTTCCTTACTTTAATTAAATTAATTACCAGCATAGGCAGTTAAATGTCATGGGAACTAATGAAATGTCAAACTGGAGTAAATAAGCAAAAAAAAGAAAATTGTCGACATAACCGATAATAATTGTAATAGAATTTAAAAAAACAATTTTAAACAAACAAAAAAGAATTTCAATTCCACACTGGAAAAAATGAAGATATGATATCAAAATTAAATTCTGATAACCGAACACAACAAAGAAAGTATCGACAAAAACAATAATGGCTCGGTTGTTTTCTTTTGCTTTCTTTTTCACTAAGCAACAACGATTATCTAATTGAAATTGAATAAACGTTTTTTAATAAACACTTACCCGGATGCTTCCAGAACGCTCTCGCGCTCAAAATTCACCCAATCTTGTCCTAATTTTTATTATTTTTGACAAAAATGATATAAGGAGATGAGTCCTGTTTGACAGTTATTCACACAACAAGCAATGGCGTCACTGTATTACAGCTGATTCAGAGCCGTAGAACGCCCTTGTCATGTTACGCACTCTTACGACGAAAAATGTAGTTCCTTCGCAGAACGCAACATAATGCGAAAAAATATGTCAAAATCATGTAGCAAGTATTTGGAAATTGTTTAAAATGACATTATTTCAGTAATTAAATACTTTCATACTTCAAATTTTTAGTAATAATTAAGAAGGTAAGCATTTGTAAAATATATTGTGATATTAACATATAAGATTCCTACACACTTATCGATTTTACAATGATTCATAATAAATAATAGAAGTGCGTATTATTTTTCAAGGTTTTTTTTTTATATTTTGTGGAAAAATGAATGTTTATACAAAGATTTAATTTAGTAAATTGTTTTGTTTTGTTGTTAATTAGGATAAATGTGTGTAAGATTACAATAAAAATGCTTTTTGAATTAAAAAATACGAATAATGTATATTTAGAGGTTATGTTGATAAGTTTAAAACCTATTTAATCAAATCTTTTTAAACAGTAATTGTAAATAATAATATTTTTTCGAAAAAAAATCATATACATTGACACATTTAACTTATGTGTGTTTTTTTTGGAAAATTTCGAGAAAATTAATTTTGCAAATTTGATAGACAAACGGAAAACTTGAGAGCAAGACGGGAAGTATATCTGCAGGGGTGTAGGTAAAACAGTTTTTGATAAATATTATTATATTTTACATATAAATATAATATTATTATTATTATTATATTTTACATATAAATATAATATTAATTATTGTTTTTATTAACATTTTGCTACAATATGTAAATTTCAAACAAAATTGAAAATTGTTTACATATTCCGAAATTTAGTAGTCAGCGGTGTAAAGCATAAAGTCAAATTTCAGGGATTGTAGGTAAAATATATTTTTTTAAACTAAAATGAATTTCAATTTTAAAGGATTAAATAAAATAAGAACAATATTAATTTGATTAAAAGTTGTAGAATCAATTTTGAAAGAAAATCCTCTTAGTTTAATTCCATGATATCTTTAATTTATTTTTATTTCCTCGTGACATTCTCTGGGGAATTGTAATAAGATGAACAAAACTTATATTAAATTCTAAAGAAATTAGTTTTCTCTTTAAATTTCTCAAAGCGAATAAACTTTAAAAGAAATTTAAACTATTAAATGAAAATAAATTAATTTTTCAAATTTATTGTGCTTTCAAATTACTTTAAAAAAAAATTATTTAAATTCTCCTAGAAATATGCAACCCGTCGTTATATAAATATTACACAAATGCTAATCTGGTTGCATTTTTTTCTTTTGATTAGAACAAAAAAAAAAAAAAACTTAAACCTGTCTGTTATTATGCAAATGGTTTCACGTTTTGTTTCAATCCAAATTCCAATTGAAGTTTATTAAAATCTCGAAATGCGCCTAATGATTGGCTCGTGGTCAGGCAGGCCTCCAGTACGTGATATTGTAGCAATCTCATTTGAATTGTTGATATAATTTCTTAGGAAAAAAAAAAAAAAATGTATTCCTAATAGACTTTATACGTAAGAGTGCAAATATTATAAACATATAGTCATAAAGTGGTCACTAATTATTAACTAAGTGCGTTGTCTCCGCCTTAATTCTATTTATTTGTTTTCAACATTATATGTATACATATAGATCGATATAATGTATGTTTTAAAACGATAGGTAACAATTACATCTGAATATTAAGATATAAAACGTTTGCTTTATTTTATAAAAAAATATGAAAATTATTAAAATTAAATTATTTATTGTCAAAATTAATTAAATAAAAATTTAATATTAATCTTTTTAAATATTTATTGAAATTTTTATTTTAAATTATTTATTTTTAATTATTTATTTTAAATTTATTTTATTTATTTATGTAATTTTAAATTAATTTTAATTAATTTTAATTTTAATTTTTTTTTATTTTTTTTTTATTTTTATTTAATTTAATTTTATTTTATTTTATTTTATTTTATTTTATTTTATTAATTTTATTTATTTTTAAAAATATTTATTAATTAATTTTTCTTTAATTTTTCCAAGCAATAATTTAATAGTAATTATTAATAATATGTATTATTACTATAATTATTAAGTAATCTTCAGAATGAAACAGGTTTTTTTTTAAAAAATATTTTACTAAAGAAATATAATTTTTATTATTGATTTATTGATTGACGTAGGTTTATTAATCAAAATTAATTGATTTGTTAAACAATTTGTTTTCAATTATTTATTAAACAATTTCTTTAAAGAAATAGAATTAAAAAAATTTTTTTTATTAAATTGTCAATTTATTAATTTTATTTTCATAAGTCTATTAACATAAATACAAACAAAAAAAAAATGAATAAGTTTACAATTAATTTTAATTTAAAAATATTTTTTTGAAATAATAAATTTTTATTAAATTATTTTAAAATTTAATTAAATTAAACATTTCTTGAATAAATTTATTAAATTTATAATAAATCAGAAAATTAACTTTTTTTTTCTTTCTTTTATTTAAAAAGTCGCGTTTCAACTATATCGAGAATAACTGCAGAGCTTTTCTTTGCCAATTCAGAAGAGCTTTTAACTTAAAAGGTTTTGCTCCAGTGACTTTTGCATCAAAGTTGAATGTGGCCTGAATTAATAATTATTATTAATATACTATCGAATGAAATAATATGTAGGTCTATAAATTTTACGTCTATCATAAAGGAAAAAAAAAGTACAAAAAAAAACTTTAATTTCAATTATAAAACTTGTGACAATAAAATAAAAATTTATTAAATTTTTTTATTTTATAACAAAAATATAATTGAGAATAAAAAAAAATTTTTTTTTTAATTATTATTGATAATTTTTAATTATAATAATTTATTTTATAATTTAAAAATTTTATTATAAAAAAAGCTATTTTTTTTTTTTTGATAAAAGTATAAAGTGGGGTAAATTATAACACACTTGTTAAGTAAAAAGTAGTTGAAATGTTCGAAGCACGTGACTAGGCAGTCAATGGTGGGTCAAGGGAAAAGGACTTTCAATGGATGAGTGAAATATCCTGGAAAAGTATGAGGACTAAATCACTTCCTCTCGAGGGTTACAGAGCTAAAAGCAGATTTAAGAGAGAAAAAAAATTGTCTCTCTTCTCAAGAAAATCCCTGAGAATAAATTTATTTATGGGTTTCTAGGAATGATATATCTTTATAATAAAATTATAATAATAAAAAATTATATTAGAATAATTATATTATTATTATAAATTATAATAATTATATTATTATTATAAATTATAATAAATAATTATAATAATATCGTTAATAATAAATAATATAACATTAATTAACACTCTATTCAAATTTTGAATTTAAATTTTCAATTTTTGCGCGCGTAAAGCGCGTTCGTTCATTGGTCAGTGTGAATAATGTTGTATTAATAATTATTTCATTTATTATAGTGCTAATTTCGATAATTTTATTAAAAATAGCAACTTATTATTATTATATTTACTCTATATAATTTTAATTTGGTAATAGTTATTAATTTTTATTGATTTCAAAGATTTGAAATTAAAATTTAAATATTTAATTCAAATCTTTGTTTGAACTTGCGAGCCACTAGCTCTGAATGGTCAGTGGGCCTCAGCCAATAGGGCCTCAGGGACTAAACGAGGGTAGATGCGGCGCGCGCATCGGGTCATTGTACGTCTAGAGCTTGGAAGGGTAAGTACCGATGAAGAAAATTCTTGTTTCAATCCTTCGTTCCCTTGTTCAATTTATGTAAAATTTTGATAAATCTTATGCATATACAGTATATTATTCATTATTTT